TGCAATTTCATCATAAAATTTCATCATTATAAAACTGTGCAAGAGAAGAGAGTGAAGGTTTTCTTCACTCAACACTTTCTAACTTTAATGTTTCTGTTGCACAGAGAGAAAAATGACGCTTAAGTGAAACAGGACCATGGTCTGACTATGTTCTGCTTTTTGGGGGGATCTCCATAAATTTGGCTGGGTTCTTTGGAATGGCTATAAATAATAAAGCAGTTGAGCACAGTAGCATATCATTCCTTTGTAGTTGGCTATTGCCTGCCTTGCCACGTAGATATGTGGCTCCAGTAAGCAAAAAAAGAAACCAAACCATTTTTCGTTTGTGGCTAAAATATTTATCCCATCCAGATACAGGGAAGAAAGTGATAGTGGAAAATGGAGGGCACTTGTGGTTTTTGTCTCCTGACGGTGGAATATAATTTACCAAATTACAACTCTGTGGATTGTCATGGTTGCTAGTGAGGTTATCAGCGAGAGATCATTGTGTGGGCTTCTAGACAACCTAACAGATACAGGAATTTGTGAAAGTAGACCTGTAATTCTGAATTTTTCCATACTGTGAAGTTTGCTTACAGATGAAGAAGAGCCAGTGAGATCTCACTTTTCACTACACATATGAAGGCAGTGATTAACCTTGTGATAGTCAGGTCTTTGTCGCAGAGGATATCAAAGTGGAACAGACAGAGTGGGCTGGTCTCAACCTTATTGGGAGGACCTTATTGACTGACTTGTATTTTTAATTTGGCAGCTATACTGTGAGCGTTACCAAGCCCCAATATCTGTGGCTTCTCAAGCCCTGGAGTGCTGTGCGGTAATAGTTCCACAGCAGATGAACCTATTAGGAAGAAAGGAGATACCCCTCTACAAAGATGAGCAAACTAAAGGATAGCATGAAAAAAAACAAACAAACAAACAAACAAAAAAAAAAAAAAAAAAAAAAAACACAAAAAATTTCTAACCTTTTCCACTCTTCCTGTTAAAGAAATGCTAAAAGAAGAGGATAATACTGCAGAAACAGAGACTACTGGATTAGGAAAATGAAAGGCTTTTCCTCCTCAAAAGCCTTCAAATTGTGATGATTTCCATTGCCTTGATAAAACCAGACCTGGCTGTTAGTGCCATATTTTCTTTTGCGCTTTTGTAGTGATAATAAATTTTGCATGAAATGAAAGTAAATAGTTGTTTATACTTCATTTTACAGCAGCCAGTATGTCACTAAGTCAGCACTTCTCCTCTGAGATTTATAGAGCAGGATTTAGGCTAAATTGCTGGCATATGAGATTTCAGCCAAAGGTTGTTTTCCTTTAACCATTTTGTTTTTCAAATGCCTTGGCTGATTTTAGGTTATTGGAGCCCAATATAATTACTTGTTTAATTGCTTGGAAGAAGTGGAGCTTCCGTAGTTCAAAAATGGCTCATTTTCTTTAAAAATAACTGAAATCTGGCTTGGGGTTCTCTAGAATGCAATGCACTATACAATTGTGTAATTTTATCCTCTTAAAAATTCCCTGAATAGTCATTAAATCTTTGGAAAGTAGCTAATCTCCAGGAGAAAGCGATAGGTCTGGCTATTTTCCAGGGTTTGCAAGAGGCAATGACAGCTTAACATGGTAAGAAAAATGGTTTCTAAATCACTGCATGACTGAGTCAAAGACTCTAGCCTGCTAAAACCCAGTTGGTCTTCTTAATAACTCCAGTCTTCTCTGATATCCAGAACCAACCTCTGCTTTCAAGAGGTGACACGGAGCAGATAAGAAGAGGAAAAATTGACACAGAGTTCAGAGAGCTTGTGAATAAGGATTGATCAGTTAGATATTGGTCAGTGCCGCTTCTAGTTGTGCTGTACCAACTTGTGTTGTGTTGAAGCACAACAATAAAGGAGCTTTATGAGAGTTATAATGTGGCAGATAGTGATATAAAGGAGAGTAAAGTAACAAACAAGGCTGCAGCCTGCATGTTGAGAAGCCAGACATAATTCTAAGATGTTCAGGATCATTATATTTGTGATGAGTATCACTCACTACCTTAGTGCAGAGGATAAATACGTCACTTTCAGCCTGCTTTCCTCTCTAGAGAACTGTGTATGCGAGCATGTGTGTTCACGTGCCTGTGCAGTCTGTCAGTCTGTTCTTCTGTCTTTTCCCTTTAACTTCTTCATTTTTCATTTAGCTCCAAGTAAATCTGGTGCAAAGGGAAGGGTCTCACAGACAATGAAATTCAAACAAGTTTCATGAAAATTACATGCTCTTGAGTAGAAAAAGAGAACTAGAAATTACTCCCAGAAAGACTCCCTGCTGAAGGCAGCATTGCAGCATAAGGCCTCACACACAGAAGCAACAAAGAATCAGCAGAAGGATGGGTAGGGGGCAAGAGAAGCCCCAAGAGACCCAACCACAGCAAATCTTCTCTGGATATTGCACTTTACCCCAAAATGTAACTCACAGAGAACCAGGAATTAGTTCCAGCACTCACAAAGCTCAGAGCTGGGCCTCTGACTGCAGCACACTTGCGGAAATTTCTTTTGCCATTACTATACTGGAAGAAAATCTGGTCTCTTTTTGGAGACTGCTGCAAGATGTTCTTTAGGTTACATGGCCTTTCCTCCTCTGAACATCTAAAAGACGGCAGTGCATTCCTGAACCTCTACAAATCGCAGAAGTGGCTGTTTTACATGAGTGCTAAGCAGACAGTCACAGAACTTTAGGGCATCGTGAGTGTGCTGAGGACAAGATGCATCTTCTTTTCACCCAGACACGTTCTTGTGAATTCAGCAGACAAGGGTTTGGGAATGATAGGAGTGGAAAAATTTCAAAGAGGCTGCAAAACATTCCCCTTCTTGTTTTTTCATATTGCTCTTCATCTGGCTTGTCTAGTAGGATAACTATTGTGCAGCTGCCTTCCCTCACCTGTGCCCATTCAGTCACAGTAGTGTTGACCTCTGCGAAAAAAAAAGAGGTCATTGCTGTTTGTAAATAGAGGAGCTGGATTGTCATGTCACTTCTTGGATTTGAGGATGCCAGCCACTGCTGCTCACATCAGAGTCCTTCCTCAGAGACTCCATGCGAATTAGCAGGACTCCATCAGTGACTCAGGCTCAAGAAAAAGGCCCAAGAGTGCTAAACAGGGTTCCATGTCTGGACAGCTTGATCCAATGGATCTTGAAACCAGAATATTTTATTTATTCAGAGGACAACTCTTTTGTACTTATCTGAAGAGAAGAATGTTAGATGAGATTATTTATTCAGATGTAAAAGAGAGCTTTCACTTTTAATATGTCATAGTGTATCTACTAAGTCTATCAAACAACAGCTGTGTCAGCAGTAGCTCATGGGACTGGATGGGAAGTCTGTATAGATACAAAGTTTGAAAAGAAAGACCTACATTAAGCCAGCCTTCCACAGTTGCCTAAATCTGTTTCAAAGATCCACAACATGAGTTTGCAAGGCTCAGATCTCTTCAGGCAAATCACCATGACTTTGCTGACTTGATGAAAATGTGAGGTTCAGGGGGTGTGTCTCCACAAGGAGAACAGCTTTATAGCTTTTGCAGGAGTAGGAAAGCTCTATTCTTATGTTTCAGGTAAAACGCAGAAAACTGAGTCTAATTTTTATAAATAAATGCAGTAGTACAGAACCAACATATGACATTATAATACTTGAGGGCTTTAATGGTGGTAAACTGGGCATTGCCATAAAGAAAACAACTAGGAAATGTGCTTTCCAAGAGGAACAAGAGCTCAGATAAGAGGCAGGCATATGAAAAGAAGGCAAAAAGAAACAAGTTAGAGCATCCCACACTAATACACAGCATGAGCATAGCCACTTATTAGCAAGAGTGCTATGTAATCTACAGGTAACTGAGATTGGTCAGCCAGGTTTCAACTCAGAATTAACCTCAAGCTGTCTAATAAAGTTTGTAGACAACCAAATGGACTCTTTGAAGAGTTTTTGACCAAGACATTCTTGAAGCTAAATTTGAGAACTCTTACAAACACTGACTTTGTGGACTATTGTTTGTTCTTGGGGGATCCACAAAGACTTGCTTCTCATATTCTTTTACCTTAATGAAGCCCATGACTGTTCTTTGGTGATCTGTTGAAGTAGATCTGTTAAAACCTATTTGAGGCCAGGCAACCATTCTGAATTGTTAGCTATGGATTTCATTCTGTTTTCAAGCTTTTTCATCTCCATTACTTATCTTTGTGACGATAATCATGGTTGCGAGGGTTGATTTGAGCTGCTAAACCTGAAATTCATCTGTGTTGGCTTTTCACTAAGCACCCGTTTTAGCAGTGCTTTTTCCTGTACATTGAGCTTCAGCACTGTGCATTTGTAGTACTGTAACTGGAGTCAATAAAAAGCAAACACCATGTCTAGAAGCTCTTAATCAGTATTTCACAGCCACATTAGCAACTCCATCCTCCCCCTAGTCCTGTCAAAAGCATACACTTAGGAATGGCAGGGCATTGCTAATGTCATCCCTTACATCCAATTCAAAGGAAGAATTCAATTTAGGTACGCCTCCTTCTTCATCTATGAAGAACATGAATTCCTAAATTTGTTGTTTCGGGTTTTTTCTTCCTCTTTCTTTAGAGAAAAAGAAAACACCAGGGTATTCCACTGTATGCATCCTTTGCTTTTAACATTCATTCATTTCAAATGGATAAATATGTTAAAACAAATTGCATTCTGGGTGGATGTCTTAACTCCTCAATGCTATGGGATATGGTGGGGAGAGGGGGTACTAGAACAGGCACTTTGCCAGATTGCCAGCTTCATTCTTTGTTGACTGATGCTGGTTTCAAACGAAAGAGATCTGTATGGTCCTCTCTTGCCACTTGTATTCGGAGACATATAGCATCAGTGTGGTGGATCTCTAGTCACTTTCTTT